CCCTTTATATTTTTCCAGCGTTCTGCAGGACACATACTTCCATGTTTTACGTTCTACCATTATGGTCAGTTTAGAAAGTTGACTTTGTTTCTGAGTGTCTACCTTGTTGGTGGTACAAAGGTTATGACCCTTTCGAGTTGATATTTGATTGAAAGGAAGATATGCGAAATATTGAGAATTCACTAAGTATTGAAAAAACACAACAATCATTGTGGAGAATACACTAAGTATTGAAAATACACCAAGCATCATGAAAAAGATATTAAGTATTGCAAAAAATACACTGAGTATTAGCCATCAGTATGAGTTATCAGCCTAGCTGGTAATATAATTGCTTCACATTACAAAGTTGTAATTTCCCCTCCTGGGTAGGGGTTGTCTGATAATCCCCCCCTCCTTCCAGGTATGGTCTTTATTACGATTATCCCTTCTCGATAGGAACAAGCTTATAATTATCCCTTCTGGGCAGGGGTCATTTTTTTCATTAGAAGTGGAAGCGCTTGAGGTTCCTAGCATTCCAGGTCATTGGTGTTGGTGTCCCATCGGTTGTCACAAGTGAATAGGGTCCGTTCTGGTATGCTTCAGCCACTTTGTACAACCCTTCCCATGTCGGTCCTAATTTTCCTCGTGGCAAGGAATGGCTCACTTTGTTATTCCTTAACATGTAATCTCTGACTTTGAAAGCATATTCCTTCACTCGTTGGTTATTGTATCCTTCAACGATGTTCTTATAAGCTGTTAAGCGAATGCTTGATTGTTCACGCCACTCTTCTATAAGGTCCAGATTTTTCCTTATATCCTCACTGTTCTCTTTCTCTTGGAAACGCGTTGTACATAGTAAGCCAACCATAATTTTTTTAGTAGTATTGCCTACATACCGGAGGCCAGGCTGAAGGGAGTTTCCCTCATGCATGTCCTTAGTTTCGTTCGGTATGACCAGAGTACTACTGGGAGTTCATCTACCCGGTTGCCCTTAGCTCCCCCTGCCATTTATTGATTTCGTTTACTAGCATCCTGTTAGACACTTCTGTTTTGCCTTTGGACTAGGGATGTGCTACTGAAGTGAATATTTGTTCTATGCCCTTATCTGTGCACCAACTTTTGAATGGGTTTTTGGTGAACAACACTCCATTATCTCTTATCAGCACTCTGGGTGTACGAAATCTCGTCAGGATATTCTTCCATAAGAACTTGATCACCTGCCTCCCTGTTATGCATGCCACGAGCTCTACTTTTGTCCACTTGGTGAAGTAGTCTATCGCGACTACTAGGAGTTTCACTTTCCCTAAGGCTTATGAGAATGGGCCAACAATGTCAATTCCCCACCGGTAAAAGGGTCATGGGATTGATATGCTTTTTAACATCTTAGGGGGTGTCCTTGTACTAGATAGAAATTTTTACACTCTACACATATTCTTGTTAGCATCGCAGCATCACGGCGAATTCCGGGCTAGTAAATTTCCATCCAGAGTATTTTCCCTGTCAGAGCTCTTGCTCCTTTGTGTGCTCCAGCTAGGCTGACATGGGCCTCCTGAAGTACTCTCTTGCTGCACGCTTTGTATATGTATTTTAGCCATGGTGCCGTGAATCCCTTTTTGTATAATTCCCCTACTATTAACGCTTATTGTGGGGCTTTTATCCTCATCTTCTGAGCCTTTTCATGGTTTCCTGGTAGGATGCCATGTTGTAGGTAGTCCACAATGGGTGTCATCCAGTTAGGCTGTGCTGGTGTTAATGTGCGTATCTGGCGATCGTCTATGTTTCTTTCCTTTAGCACATTGACCAAGACTTTCTTGAAAGGTGATTAAAGCATGTCGATGGGAGTTTACTGAGAGTGTCTACCCTCGTATTGTCTCCATGTGGTATTTTCTTGATGGTGAAGCTTTTCAGAGGGCTCATTAGCTTTTGGACAACCTTCACGTATTTCTCCATCCGTTTATCCCTTTCTCCAATTACTCCATTGATTGGTTTGCTACCATCCTCGAGTCCATCAAGGTCATTACCCTTTCTGCTCCCATCTTGTTTGCCAACCTGAGACTGGATAGCAACACTTCATATTTGGTTTCATTATTAAAAGTATTTAATTTGAAGCGGAGTATATAAGTAACTTTTCTCCACTTGGGCTTGTCAATATCAACCATGCTCCCAGTCCTTCTTTGCTAGATGCTCCATCTTTGTATAGGGTCCAAGGATGGTTTTCTTCCTAGCTTGGTGTCTCCTTCTGAATTTCTTCTTGAGCTTGTGTCTCTAGTTCTCCTCGTATCTCTAGTATGAAGTCTACTAAATCTTGTCCTTTGATTGCCAACTGTGCCAAATAACTTGAGGTTTTTAGCTAAATAAGTATATGTTTGATTGGGTAGCTACTTAACACCTCTATTTGATGTTCCTGTAAGTATCACCTCAGACGTTGCATTGTGTAAATGAGTGTTATCACTAACTTTTGGATAATACGATTGTTAATTTCCAAGCCTCACAGTGCTCGGCTGATGAAATAGATCGGGAGTTATCCTCCCACTCTCCGTACTACTAGCACTAAGGGTATTGCCTCGTTTGATGCCGATAAAGAAGTATCACGCCCGAGATGGACTGGTGAGTGTAGGGATCTTGTTCAGGGTGTCCTTCCATTTATAGAGTGCTTTTCAACTGCTGGTGTCCAATGCAAATTGTTCTTTTCGATGCATCCTTTGAGCCTGTGGAAGAATGGCATGGGCTTTTCTACCGACTTGGAAATGAATCGGCTCAGGGCAGTTAGCTTGACATTTAAACCTTGCATGTTTCTAAGGTATGTGGGGATGTTACCTCCATTAGCTCTTTTACCTTGGCGGGGATTGACTGGATCTCCTCTTTGGTGACGCAGTATTCCCATAATTGTCCATCTTCCACTCCAAAGGTGCACTTCCTTGGGTTTAATTTCAACCGAACCATTTCTAAGTTTTTAAATGTCTCCTCAATATCATTGAGTAACTTCTCTTCACTTAGACTTTTGATGACCATATCATCCATGTCGACTTCTATGCTTCGTCCAATTTGCTTCTCGAAGAGCAAGTCAACCAAACGTTGTTCGGTTTCACCCACATTCTTAAAGCCGAATGACATCTTCTGATAGTAGAATGCGCCATGGTCGGTATAGAAGGTGGTTTTTTCTTTGTCTTCTTTGCTTATAAAGATCGTTTTTAGCTATCCAAAGCCTATCAATAACAACTAGTTTATACTTTTTTTAATTATTATTTTTCATAAAATAATAAGTATTCTCTAATTAAAAAAATTAGTTGGTTATTTATTAATAATCATATTAATAATAAATATTCATCATGTGTCAACTTGATTAAAGTGTGACCTTATAAAATTATATGTTGTTATTAAATATTATTCAATAAAGACTCTTGAATGTATAGATTCAACAACTACAGTGGTATAGTGACAAAAAATAGTGGAGATGTTAGGGGTTTTAAGCACTGAAAAAATTCAAGCGGTTGAAATCATGCCATGAAATATTGTCAAATAGGGCTTCATGACTGGAAAGATGAATAAAAGGGAGGAAGGAGATGGTCGTAGTCGTTCTTCAATGGTAGTGGTTTCCAAACAAGAAAATCCATAGAGAGGTTATAGCGGGGTAGGGCCTTTTTTATTTGTAGTTGATAAAATAATCTAATAAATACAAAACACATGTAAAAAAAAAATAATGTATAATAGTCATTTCAAGTTTGACGGATATAGTCCACAAAAAATATATTAGATCATGGTAGAGATGTTGAGATTTGGAGCACCTATAACGTTGGGGTTTTGAGCACTGATAGAATACATATGATTAAAATCAGGTGGTGAAGGCTAGAAAGATGAATAGAAATGAGGGAGGAGATGGTAGTAGTCAATCTTCAATTAGAACAGTCACCTATCTAGAAAATCAATAGAGAGAAGTTATGGTGGTGTGTGTTGTTTTTATTTCTAATTAATAATAGCGTTTCCATAAAAAATGGAATAAGAAAATCAAAAATATAATAATCATTTTAAATACGAAACACGTAATAACAAATATATTATAGGATCGGTTGTGCAAGTTGAACAACTTTTAGACAATATTCACAAAAACAACAAACCATAAGGTCCAAGTTTGCATTCTAGAGAAAAACAAAGCTAAATATTTAAAATCTACTAATAATAACTTAGAGCATCTCCACAGATTTTTTTTTATAAGTTATTACTATTGACTAATTAATAATGAACATTTATTTCTATTGAAACATATCATTTTTTTGTTTATTTTTATTAACCACACAATATATATTTAAATTAATAATTTGTACATTTTATCCCCTCATCTTCTAATCATAATTTAATTTAATCCTTGTTTTTATTTTAGCTTTCAATTTATTTATTTATTTAATGAATTCTACCAAATATTTAGTGATATTTTACTTAAGAAATATAAATATAAGGATAATATTAATTAGAATAGTTTATATTAAAATATGATGGATATTTAAAAATGACTAACTAAATGAAGTGGGTTATATAGAAAATTTTAAATAGATAAAAATAGATTAATTAAATTTAAAGAAAAAACTATTTGAAGAGTTTAACCATTCAAGATACTATTTATTTAGAAGTTAAAATTATTATAATAATAGTGTGGCAATAACTTTAAGTTATAGATACTCTTAGAGAAAGATAAATACAACTCTAGGATAATGTATCCTATATGACCTAACCCTAAATAAACATCAACACAGAGGATCTAAACACGCCCTACCTAATGAAACCATAAGCAAGGCCTAGCCATCCTAGTCCCTAATGACAGCAGGCAAAGCCATTGCTGACATGTACTCAGAACAGCATCTTTTATTAAGCTTCAGAAAATTTATGCCGCTTATACATACAATACAAGCTACCAGTAAAATCAGGCAAACCCAATCTTCATAATCTCACTGTACAAACAAGGATACCCGATTTGATCACAATCTTAGAATATACTACAAAACACCCAATAACCTTAAAAAAGGTTAAAGTTTGAGAGTAAGATCTGGCATTGTAGATGAATCTGAAGGCGTCCCATCAATCTCCCTAAAACTACCAGGCCAAACCAGTTCAGCTTCATCTTCTTCCACAAATACCGGTATCCCACAATAGCTCTGGTCAAACCTTGTTCCACCTCTCACTGCATGAAAAATCGGCATCTGCGGAGGCACAACATGTTGATGCAACGAGCCATGAGCTTCGATACCCAGAGACCGAGATGTGAACCCATGAAGAGGCAAAGATGCGAGACTGGTAAATCTACTGGACATCAGTCCCATCTTGATGGCTCTATTCGCAAGCATCTTCTCTCTCTTGTGTGCATTTTGATGGCCTCCCAATGCCTGTGAACTGTAAAACTTACGCCTGCAGTATTTACAAGAGAATACACGTGGTTTAGCTGGTACTGAGACAGTTGTCGGGGACCCTGATTCTAAACCATTAGATTTAGGAATCTCATTATTATTAAAACCAAGAGTCAAGTCAAGAACAACGGATGAGTGATTTGTGAGGGTTGATGAAGTGGTAGAACTGTGTTTGGATACACTGATATCAGACTCATCGGCATTCAGGAAGATAGTCTCGTTTGGAGGTTGCATGTTTCACTAAAACTTGTTTCAGAGATTAAGGACCACAAGAATTAATTGTGGCCATTTTTGAGCTTGTTCGCCTGCAAAAGCAGGGTGAAATATGAAATCTGTACTAGCTTTCAGTATTGCAATTAGTACCCAGTTGTCATAAGAACAAGAGGAATTGCTATGTTTGTAAGATATGTTACTAGATTCATCAAAACTGAATGTATGAGGAATCTTATGAATAGAAATCAGTCAACTTAAACTAGACCTCCTCATAAGAATTTCAACAAAGTGTTATTGAGTAACTGATTAGTGTTTACATCTATATTCTCCAACAGTGGGAATTGCTTTACTTTCTGATTCATATAATAATTGATTGCTTAATGCCTTAATTAAAGCAGTCACTACTGAAAGTAAGCATTAATATTGCTATCTCGGTGAGTGATCAAGATCTGAAAGTAGTAGCAGCAACAAGATGAAAATCTTCAACCCAAAAAGAAATTGAAAGAAACCCATGAACAATATCCCCAGCGATCAACAGAAACAGTACAGAAGAATAATAAGATCAAACGGACTTCAAATTAAATTGGATTGATTAAAAAAGGAAAGGGATCCAATACCTTTTGTTCAGTGGTACTTTCCTCACCTGCTTCTTGTCGAATATGATTGTTGGATTAAAATACCGCAGTGGGTATTCTTAGTTTTTGCCAAAAATGTGGAGAAGATGGAAAGCAGTAGAATTAAAAATTGAGGATAAAAGAGATAAGATCATACGAGAGAGAGAGAGAGAGAGAGAGAGAGAGAGAGAGAGAGACGTTGTCTACGAAAGTGATTTACTTACTAAACTGCACATTCTCGTTTGTTTAAATTGTTTTCATACAAAGAGGATATAAAGAAATCCAAACGTGCAGATGTTCCCATGTTTTCCGGCTTTTAATTGTTTTGAGAGTTTTCTCTAAATTTCATTGGTGATTTTTTTCGTTTAATTTGAAAATCATTGTGAAGTAATTGTTTTCCGAGTAAAATCTAAATTTAATTAGTGATATACTTTTTCTGAAGGAAAGATTAATTTTTTAAATTAAATTCATCTACTTAATTAATTTGTCTAGAAATAGAACCCACAACCTTTAATTTAAGAGCAATTTAAGAAAGGGCTAATCCCACATTGGCTAATTAATAATATTTTAATTTAGATTATTCATTCAAACTCAATCTTTTATTATAAACAATAGTTTTTTCTTTTTTTTTTTGTTATAAAGGATTTGGGCCAAGTGTTACGGCGAGATGTCTTCCTTTTATAAAGTTGATAGTTTAATTGTGGGTCGGATATATCCTTTATAAAGTTGATAGTTTAATTGTGGGTCGGATATATCCTTTTTAATAAATGAAAGTTTTTTTTTACTATTTATCACATTCTTATTAAATTTATCAAATGTCATTTTGTAGTTATTTTGAATTAATTTTTTTTCCACATTTTATTTTATTAGTTTTTATATTTTACTAAATTTCGTATAATATTTTAATATAATACTTGCAATAAATGTAGTTATAAATTGATACAAATTTCATTAATGAACTTACATTTTAATTTCAAAATTCTTAAAATTAAAACTTATTAGGTTTGCAATGGATATCAATGTCATTTTGTATGGGCCCGCATAGTCACGGCCATACATAAACTTGGGAATAATCTTAATTATTGCTTTGCAAAGGCATCGTCAAATGGTGTTTGGTCGAACATTGCTAAATTATTCAAGGCAATGGAGAAATTAGGTTTAACGGCACGAGATGTAATGAAGATGGTGAACTCAAATGACAGATGGATATTTTCTTTTGAAGAAGATGGGATTTATATGTAGCATTATTAAGAACACGGCTCGATAGGACATCCCACCCGATACCCGATGTTAAATTCACATGTTCTATTGTTGTTCCAAAAAGGTCTTGTGTTTCGTATGGAGGGCAAAACAAAACCGAATCCCATCAATGGCGACTCTAAACAAAAGAGGGGTTCTAGATAACGCCACTACTTGTGATGGGTGCCAAGTAAATGATGAAACAGCGGATCACTTGCTTATCGAGTGCTTGTTGGCGAAAGAAGTGTGGTCGTCAGTGGAACAATGGTGTGTTGTGTCGAATTCCATCCTTGATTGCACAACAGTCCAAGAGGTGTTGCCGAAGGACAAAAGATGGGGAAAATGCCCAAAGGAAAAGAAAGTTATATCATACATACTTATAAAGGTAGAATTTTTTCTTGAATCTCATGCATTTGAAACCCCCATTCTTTTTTTCTTTCATCACATTCATTTGAAACTCCCATGACTTTTCAATTTCTTTATAATAGTAATTATAATTTGGTAATTAGGTTAAATAAATATCAAATATAAAGTGTATTCATATATAAACTAAATTTCAATACTAAAATAATATCTTTAATTCTACTTATAAAATTATGTTTTTTTAACTTTTAACATATTATACTTAACTTATTAGTTTTAATATATTGTTGGATGTAAACCATTATCATTTTTAAGGTATAATTTTTGAACAATTTGTATAAAATAGTTAAATTATTAATTAAAATATAACATTATAGGCTCAACTTAAATATAAATTTTATTTAACTTAAACAACCCAAAGATTATTTTATAAATAGTTAAAAGTGATAAATTGTAGTGTCTTTCGAATAATGATTGTAAGTTGGTTAATAAGGTTAAATAAATATCAAACCTAAAGTGTAATCATAAATAGACTAAATTTCAATTTTAAAGTAATATCTTTACTTCTATTTATAAAGTTATGTCTTTAAATTTCAACATGTTATACTTAATTTATAAGATTTAAAATGATGTTACATGTAAACCATTCTCAGTTTAAAGCTACAATTTTTGAACAGTTTGGACAAAATACTTAAATTGTTAATTTAAATATAACATTACAGTATCAACTTAAATATAATGTTCAATTCCACTAAAAAAACAAATAATATTTGGTAAATAGTTAAAAGTGATAAATTATAGTGATAAATGAAAAAACTAAATTGTAATATCAGTTTAACTAAAATATTTCCTAAATATATTTATATAATCGTTAAAAATTTTCAAATAAGTAGCTAAAAAATAACTTATAATAACAATAGTTAAAAATAACTCTATATAAATGATTATATTATTACCTTTAAAATCAAAAAATAATGTTTGTTGTTTTAAATAATTATAATGATAGAAATTAAAACATTAAGCAAATAAATTTTAAAAAATTAGTTAAAAATAACACTTATAAATAATATTAAACCATATATAATATTTAATTTTATTGATGTGTAACTCGCGAGTAGAAGTCATTCAAATGATTGAGACTATGACGTTATAACAGATTTATATATTATCATATTATTCAAAATAATCAATATATTATATCAAATTTAACAACAACATTAGTGTTATATATAAAAAAAATTATATGCTTGTAAAGACTTCAACTATATAGGTGTTTCTGCGTATTACAATGTCAACTCAAATATAAATTTCAGTTCTATTTAAAAAAAAGTAAAGAATATTTTATAAATAGTTAAAAGTGATAAATTGTAACGATAAAAGCAAAAACTAAATTGTAATCTCAATATAATTAAAATATTTCTAAAATATATTTTTATAATCGTTAAAAGTTTCCAAATAAGTAGTTTAAAATAACATACACTAACAATAGTTAAAAACAACTTTATATAAATGATTATATTGTTAGATTTAAAATAAAAAACTGTATTTGATGTTTTAAATAATTATAATGATAGAAATTAAAACATTAAGCAAATAAATTTTAAAAAAATAATTAACAATAAAAACAACTATAAATAACATCAAATCATATATTATATTTAATTTTATTCATGTGTAACTCGCGGGTAGAAGTCATTCAAACGATTGAGATTATGAAGTTATAATAAATGTATATATATTATCATATAATTCAAAATAATCAATATATTATATCAATTTAGTATATACAAATTATTATATCAAATTTAACAACAACGTTATTGTTATATTTAAAAAATCATATATTTGTAAAGATCTCAATTATATAGGTGTTTCTACGCAACGTGCGGGCATTCTGCTAGTAAGCTATAAAATATAGGACAATTTGGTGTCTCTGGAAGGCAAGAGACAAAAGAATTTTAGAAACCTTAGAAGTCAACCGACGAAAATAGTGGATAATATTAAAACAATATTATTCACTTGGATAAAAACATAGAATCAAAAAAATTGTCTTGGATTGGAATTTATGGTGTAACAATCCGCAAAAATGTGGATGAGAGTCATTAGGCGATATCTTGTTAAAAATAATTATTCCTCTCCTCGTACTATTTTACTTCACTAGCGACTTGCTAGTGCAGCCTTTATAATATATTTGTCAGTTCAAAAAAAAAGTATTTGTTTAAATTTAAAAGATAAAAACCATTTCTATTATAATAATTTAATATTTTTCTTATTTTTTTATAAATTCAAAGTTCTCAAATATTTTGACATTTATATGTAATTTTTTTTAATTAACTCATGTAGTACATGAGTTTCACAAAAAAATTTTATATGTAACTTTTTTTAATTAACGAACGTAATGATTTGTGAGAATATACGAACTCTAAATCTACAATTGACTCTTCGAGTGCCTTACTAACCTTGTGACTCTTTGTTGTCCAAGTGTGAATCTTGTGCTTTCGATAGTACATGCCTATACTATCTTTCATAGCTATTCATACTTGTCCCAAAAATTGTCCCGCAGTTCAAGTTATTATACATAATGCCTACAAAGGAGTTTTAACATATACGTATGTGACCAAACGAGCAAATACTAGAAATTTTCTTAGACTCCACTAGGATTTTCGCATCACTACTAGATGCCTAAATGTGACATCCCCAATTTCACGACCAATTAAGACCGATTTGTTTATGCTTTGTTTTTAAAATCAAAGTAATCGTTTAAAGAAAATTGTTGCGGAATTTGTCCCCAAAACAAAATATGAT